CAGCTAGGCACCGAAGGTCGCTACAGCTGGACGGTACTATACGACCAGGTTTAGAACATTCGCGTGACCTGTATCAACCGGCTCCTAAAAATCTACCGGTCATCCCCACCCACTCGAAACCTATTAAGTGCCTTTGTGCAAAATATTGCAGTTCGAAACCAGGTAATACATGTTAGAATGCCAAGCAGTGCATTTGTCTATCAAATCCTGAGTAAGGTTCGAAGAGTTCAAGTAACCGACCGAACCATCGTGAACCACCATCCTGTCCGCTGCGGTAGGATTATGAAGAGCGTAGAGTGTTCGTTCTAGACACACCAGATGGGCCGACGTTATGCGACGTCATAACCGGGCGTTCGTCCTACTTTGGCGGCCACGCCCAGGCAGTCAATTTAGCCTCGCTTGACACGCATCGAATGACAGTTCTTCACGATTTCACAGGCTTTGCTGTCCGACTGCGATTTGGTTTACTATGACCTGTGGCAGTGGGTCACAAGCGAACGTCTTACATACGGAAGCTGCCAATTTACGTTCTATAAAGTGGACATTTTTTACAGGGGACTAGTCACCAGTCTGCATGTAATTGAGCGTTTGATCCGACGAGGAATTGTAAAACGTGCGCTTTCGGTAAGGCTTTACAGTGTAACGAAGGCAGATTCACATGCATTTGAGTTTCTTAACACATTCGACTCATAGATTGTTTTGTTTATTGTTATCGTCAGCGACGGTTTTTTAATCTCAAGACATACTGTGACCCTGGCATTCTAGTTCGATTTGGATCAATAATTTTTTTCGGAAAGGTCCGTTAAATCTCATGCACCAGGAGTTTTGCTATACGATCTTGAAGTGGCTGTCTGCGGCGTACCCCTTGAAAGTCTTGTTAGCTGGAGTTTGACTGTTTGCGCGTAGAATGTACAATCGGTTCCTCAACAATTAGCATGTCTAGCACCTCCTCTTTTCCTTTCTTTTCTCGTCCACAGATTCCATTGATCCGCCACTGTGGATAGCACCAATGATTGCCTTCCTCCCTGATATTGGTCTTCAACGAGCACTTTTGCGAGTGCTCCAGGGTCAAGGGGCGCCCAGGTTACCTCCAGAATTGCGGCAAGAAGGACAGGCTAGTCGTCGGGCCCGCGAGCCGCTTGTTGCCCCACCAGTTTGGGCGAAGCAAGTCGTTAGCCTGCTGCAGTGTTGTCGGACATGTGGTCAGGTTTGTCATACTGCGACTTTTCTCTGGCTTCTTTGTGTGTAGAAAATACTCGTTGGATTCTTTGGCGCGATATGGCCCCGCATTACTCACAATAGTATTGGCGAACATGAAATTTTCGCTAACGTCGGAAATAGTTCTACTAGACGTTCTACTTTGTAAATGTAGGCATTAGTTTTTTCTTCACGCAACACAGTACTAATAAGGTTTCCTAGGACTCCTCGACAGTCCGATTTCACCGTTCTTAGGCCCAGTCTCCGAGTGACCGTCAATTTTATGTTCTACTCTAACTCAAGTTAGCCTACAAACGAGTGTATTTCGCTAATAAGCATAGTGTATTTCTCCGCCCACATCTCCCCTCTCAAACAAAATGCTGTCTGTTAGTAAAGCATCGGTGTCTACGTTGATATTGTAGCTGTCCATAGCGATGACTATTGCAAGCGTGCTATGTGCCCACTAGTCTGTTAGTTTAGTCATTCTGGAAACTGATACCAAGGCTAACACTGATGTTTCATTACCGCACAAAGTTTCCTTCCAAAGACCACACAGTGAATACTAACCAGGACACGCCATTCCCTATTCAGAAAACGAGCCACATATTGCAACTAGACATCCACCACTCTCTACCGTACATGAGGTGGACTGAACACTGACTTCATTTCCTGTGCGGAGCTGCCCTCAGGTATCACTGAAGATTATTTGCACTCAAGGGATTACTGTATTGATGGACTCCATTTTCTGATTACTTTTATGTTTAGGTCTGTCTACGAACTGACTTCACTCACCACCATCAGACTGTTCACTCCGAAGCTTGATCGAGTTACACCGTTTGTTGGGTGCTCAATAATTCGATAGATCTTCCGATGGAATTGTGAGCTGTAAATTCGACTGGACGTGATCTTCCGGAGATCGGACTACTTCATTTCCACCCCGGCTGCCTTATTGCTGCGAAGCTTGTTGTTTCTTTGTTTTCTGTGCTTATCAGTATTTCTGATTAAGAAGTTTACTGACCAACATTTCCCCCAAATGGTATCAATCTTCCTGCATGTATTTGCAGTTCAGTCCCCTATCCTTGTTATCCAATTTTCTTGCACTCGGTGCCAGCAATACACTCTTCTCTTCGGTGCGAATTCTACTCAGGATTGATTGTGAAGTTGATCCAATCAGTATAGGTTGTATTGATTGTTCACTGGGTGGTTGATAAATATTCTAGAGCATACTACTTCGAATGGGGTTGCGCGTTCTCAGTTGGTCTACCAGAGTCATCTATTGTTGAACTCGCCCTGGTTGCACTGAAATCATATGGTGCCTGCTGATCTCTACCGACCGATTTGTTTTGTCCATTTTCATATTCTCAATGGAGCGGAATGGGTCTTGTCTGTAACACCATCTTTCAGGTTTCAGTGTGTGAATTCGACCTTTTTTCCATGTCACTCAGGTGCAGTGCTTTTAGGCGACTAACTCCCATGCAACCCAGTCTGAGGACTAAGGTACTGTCAAATCGGCCATGCGTTGACAAAAACCACAATCTAGAGGTTCGGATAGACGTGGTCCGTTCCCTCATCTCGAACCGTATATAAGTAGAATTCAAATGCTACGTCACCATGGGGCGCGATGTTTTTGGTGGAGTGAACGTAGTTTGAGTAGGCTAAGGTGTCCCAAATTTCTCTCCCTTATGAGGG